GGAGCGGCTGGTAGTTTCAAACCGCTGACCTTAAAGTTCGCAGCCCGATTCGTAACCACTACGCTACCAGAGCTAAGGAAAAAAAAAAACAAAAAAAAAAACCCCACCTAAACTAGTATTTTTATAAAAACCAAGATTTACATGTATACCCAAATGAACAACTAAACTAAATGTGCTACTAATAGTTTGGGGTGGACTGAATTCAAACGAAGATTAGTTTACTTTGTTTCTCCAAGTTTCATACAATTACTTCACTATGAGCAGCTACAGGTAATTTTTGGGCTTAACTAACACAAAATACAAAACTGACCAATAAGGGAAAAAGTCTTCAAGCAGGCCACTAACACATTTCCTACTTTCAAAACATCAAATTGTCTTTTTATCTAATTAATGCGCTATTTTACTAAAATGTGAAAAACAAACATGTAGGAAGTTGTGATACATTCTTATTTACTTGCTTATATATCATGCCAACAACTAGATTATACACACAAAATGAAAACAAGCTTCAAAAGAACAGTAATGATTTATCTTTGATGCTTTGAAATAAAGTACTCATGTCCTTACTTTTATCTCCATAGGATACTTCTAATAGTATTTTTAAAGGGGATGGAAGGGAAATCATGCATTGTCATCCTCAACAAAATATGTGAAAGAGCAAAGAATTTAATGTGAGCAAATTTTTTCCCACTGACTTACCATCTCTCCAGAAAATAAGAGAGGGTCTTTCAATGAGACATATGTAACATGACTTAAAATTTGGCAAAGATTGCATATTTGTAATTCCAATTTTATTCTAACAACAAAACTAAGAAAGATTCAGTATAGTCATTACTAGACTGAAGGCAAGGGGAAGTGGAGATAAAGTTAAAACCATATATGTTTCTCCATCAGATTATTTTAAATTTGACTCTTCCGCTGTCTGTTTCATCACATCATAGGCATATTCTTCAGTTTAGCAGACAAATACTTGTAAAATATTAAATTTTACATTAGGGAAATTGATTTTGCTACATGAAAGTTTCAAGTTACCACTTGAGGTTAGCAGCCCGATTCATAACCACTACACTACCAAGAGCTCCTTAAACACATCTCTGTAGTTAAAGAGAAATCAGGATGAAGAATTTAAAACAACTACCAACCAACTGATTTATCAACAAATGCACACTATTCTCCCAAAGTTCACTAAGTCCTAGCAATTCTGTATGATGATTAAAGAGAAACTCATTAGCATCAGACCTATAGAAAAATGGATTTGCAAAGTTACTTCAGTTTTAGTGTTAATCTTTAAAAGATAGTTTCTTTGGACTTGTGCTCTTTTAAAAAACTGAGCAGTGTTCTTGGTTCATCAAAGTAATCTATAACCGATTAAGTTACATTTTTAAGATATAAACTCTATTTTCTTGGTTTAAAAACATGCAATTCAAACTGTTCATACAGAGCTAACCACTGCCAAGATTCACTCCTGAGCTTGGTTTAGCAAAAAGTCACCCATCTTTGGAAGCAAGGGCTTATTCTGCCAACACTCTAGAAACAGCAGGTGCATCATATGCAACACTAGAGGGACAAGAAGTAGCTCACCTTACTCTGTGGAACTTAATATTTCTCAAAGTAAAACTGCTAAAATGTATCCACTGCTTCAAAACAAGGGAAATGTTCTTGTCTAATAGTAGCTTCCTATCAACAAGGAGCCCCAGCAGCATCACAGATTACACACTGGGCTGCTAACACAAAGTCAGCAGTTCAAACACACCTCCTGCTCCTGGAAAGATGCAGTCTCCGAAACCAAGAGGGAGTTCTACTCTGTCCTGTAGGGCTATGCTGACTCAAAGGCTGTGGGCTATCAACAATTCACTCATAAACACTGTATAAACTGCATAAAGAAAGTTTTGCTGAATGCTCTTGCACCTATTATATCAAGGAATTTCATAACAAACAAGATTTACTGCTTTAAAGAATACATCCAAGAACATGCTTTCAGCTAGAGAGAGGGAACCAGAGGACAGAGAATATGGCTAATTACCATCAGGACAAGATTCTGCCTACACTTCCCTTCACTCTCAACCACTCTGCTTAAACTCAATTCACTGATCTGCCCTGACCCTGGGGATCCATTCACTTTCCATAGCCCAGAGAGGCTGCTGAAAAGCTGTCAAAGTAAATCTGTGCACACTTTTTGGATGGTTTAATTTCAATGGAGCATGAAACACTTCAGGATGGTTAATAAGTTTAGCCAGGCGTGCTGTTCTCCCTAATATATTTTAATTATGCATCTGTTTTAATTGTAATCAGATTAAGTCACCGGAAAAGGCACAAATTGGAATTTTCCCTAATGGCTATTGGAGCTTTTCATCAGTTTCTAAACACTAACAACGTTTAAAAAATAGGTAGAGACACACCAACACAACTGTGACATTTTCCAGAAATCGATGCAGTTTCTTAGACAACACAATTCAGGATTCATTAGCCACCCGAAGTAACCCAAAGGCAGAAGACAACTTCAGTCTCTAGGGGCGTCCTCTTCTCAATTAGCACAAAAGAATCTCTAACGTCTAATGTAAAACTCCCAAACAAAAAAGAAACCGAGACTTTTATAAAGTGCTACTCCATGAATTTAGGGCAGGGGAGAGGACAGGGGCCATCAAAAGCATTATCTTGGCTCAAAGTAAAGTATTTCACACGCCAAACGGGGGAAGTTGAAGCAGAGTACGAGCCCTATTTTCCATTATTTTGTCAACTGTCAAACGTGTGCTTTAACCTCAGGAAATAAAAGTGTCCCATCAATAAAAAGAAACATTACAGGGAAGATCTATTAGGGGCGGGAGGGAGCAGCTTCCTTCCAGCCCAGACGTAAAACCACTTAATGTGCTTTTGTTGCATCATGAATACCTAAGACTTTTTCAAAAAAACGTGTTCATTAAACAGTTTCCCAAATTGCTAGGATTTCCGTTAAGTAACTTAAGCGTCTGCCAACAGCCGAGAAACAAGAAAGAGAACCTGCTGCAAACTAGGAGTGGAACTACCTCACCCCGCCCAGGCGCTCTCGTCCGGCTGTTTGCTTTTAGATGTTAATGTTAAGCGACTCCTAACACCTTCAGGTCTTGGACCAGCGCCTCTAGGACGCACTTCGAACCCTAAAGCAGGAAGCTTCTGAGCCACAGCTGAGTCCCCACGCAGCCCGTCACCCCTTTCTCTCACCCCTTCTTACCTGTCATCATAGCAGAAATCCGCACTCAGGGTGTTGAGATACAAGGCGAGCCCCAGAGCGCTGCTCACCAACTCTGCAATCATCTCTCCACCGCCTTCCCTCCGGCTTGGTTCCCAGCGCGAGGGCAACAGCGGCAACAAAAAACAGAAGCATCAATCCCCACCTTCCTTCGCCTTCTCCTCCCAGCTTCACTTTTCCCTCGCTTCCCCACCCTCTTTCCTCTCCCTCCCTTCCTCCCTCGGGTCCTTCCAATCCACCGCTTCTCTCCTCCTCCTCCTTCTCCTCGCGCCCGTCTCGAAGCTCCTTCGTTCTCCCCGGGTGCGGGCTCACACCGTGTTCCCCATGCCCGGCGCTCGCGCGCGGCGTTCAGGCTTCCCCGGCGGGTGCACTGGGCTGGTTCTTCGCGCGGTTCGCGGCCCCCACCCTAACCCATGGCAGTTCAGGTCGCCCTAGGTGAGGAGTGGGACAAGGAGGAGGTGGTGGAGTGTGAGGTGGGCACAGAGGGACCGGACCGAGCCGGGCTCTGGGACCAGCTGGAGAGAGAAAGAGGGGAGGGTGGGCGGGACAGGGCGAGCCACCTCCCCTCGCCGCCTCCTGAGCGCACTGCTTCGGTGCTGCTCGGGCTGAGTCCGGCTACAACGGCGACTGCAGCTCATTCACTCTTTATTAGCTCCCCCCAACCCCTAGCCGCTTCTCCAATGAAGTGAGAAGCGTCGGCCGGAGACTACAGAAGCTCCCGCGTGGGGTTCTCGGCGTTGCCCCCCGCGCCTGCGTGGCCAACCCACTAACGCTGAATTGCCCAGCCCTTTTCTCCACCCAGATCCTCCTATGGCTCCGCCCACTTTCCCCTCCGTGCTATAAGGCTCCTCCCACCCTCCCTGGGTCTAGAGGCTCCTCCTACTCACCCCCTCTGTCCTCTGGTATTTTACACCTTCGATTTCACTATGGGAAGTCCCCGAAACCCAAGGGCGACTGCTGGAAAACAGTCCAAAGGTGTGACTGGAAAACACCCTTAGAGGAGAGCTAGAGGAGAAACGAGACGGAGGAGGACGTGGTTCCTAACCCCGCTGCTGCCTGACCGTGCCAGCGGCGACTGGCACCGGCTGGCTCTCAGTCCTAGCGCTGCGTGTGCCTAGAGTTGCCAGGAGTAAATCCGGTCATCTGGAGAGACTTCTGGGAACTGGGAGAGGAGGAACAGGTTTGAGTGTTGTAGCCTCGATTGTCGCAAACACAAATAATCTCTTACACATGCACACAGTGCGTGAGCAGAAATGAAGGATTATTGGAGAGTTTGGGACAATGGACAAGATTATCACCTTTCAGCTTTCCATCGTCCTGGGATTTAGGGAGGGAAATGTTACCATAGTAAGGTTAAAAAGAAAAGATGCAAACAAGAAGAGAGAAAGAAAGAAAGCCTCTGCCCCGGCAGTTTACGGAGGCCTCTCGGGGAGCGGGGGGGGGGGGGGGGGGGGGGGGGGGAGGCATACTGTGAGGCCGACCCTGAGGACAAGGACAAGGAGATACCTCTAGTGCAACCAGTAACAGCGCTATCCTTCAACCTGAGAAAACGGGAAACTAATGTCCTCCTTTTCTTTCCGCCTGGATGCAGGACGGATGGAAGGCATTCAATATGCTGAAATACGATGTAGACAAATGACACAAGTAGAACAAGCACGGGGTACTGAAGTTGTAAGACCGCGGACTGACTGCCACACCTTCTGGCTTGACCGCTCTATGGCCGGTCGAGTGGCTCCGTTGGACCTCAATGAACACTACTGCAGCGCCCCCTGCTGCATGGTAACCACAGTACATGCAAAATAAATCCGTGGCCGATTCCCTGCTCCTCTCCCCCACCCCCAGCCCCCAAACCAGCACCCTCTCCAAAACTGTGACAAGAAATTGAGCCCCCTGGATGTCTGCCAGTGACCTGAAAAGCAAATGCCGTGGTTTGTGTGTCTGCAAAACAAAGATACATCTTTTCCTGATTATCACAAGAAAAAGAAGCTCATGTGTAAAAGGTGCACTGATGAATGTTGATTGTAGGTATTATGTCATCCACATCGGCCACATTTTTGTACTCTCAGGAAAAAACACACACAAACACATATAAAAGGAAATCATATCTTTAAAGACAGGGGCTGATCTTTTACTCTTTTTTTTTTTTCTCCTTATACTCTATTCACTGTTAAAAAGTTTTAAAAATCATTTCAAAGCCCTCTACAGTCTGTGTTGAAATTGGATCCTAGTACAATGAAGATCTGATTCTGTGCTCTAGAATCAGATGCCTGGATGTCTCACTCTGCTACTACATAATCTTTGACAAATCAGTTAACCTCTAGGTTCTTCCATTTTCTCACCTAAAAAAACAGTGATAACAATAACACCTGTGTTATGGGTACTTCAATTCTGAGAATTAAACTGGTTGACATGTGTAACGTACTGGAAGGGTTGTGGTAAGTGGAATAGAAGTGTTGTTAAGATGATGTTCTCTAACTTCCTCTTTTACTTTTAACTAGAAAGCAAAACCTCAGTGTTTGCATTCAAAACATATCCCAAATCTCACTCTTACAACCCTAACTCAAGCTACCCTTATCCCCTGCATGGACCGATGCAGTAGCCTTATGAATGGTCACTTCTACTCTGGCAACATCCTGTTACACAGGAATAACTTGAATTCTTCCCGAGAGGAAGTGAGGCCCTCATTTGGCTCTGCCTACCTCTCCTTCACTTTCTGCCATAATGCTCTAGCAACATCTGGGGCTGTAGAAGAAACATTTTTTTTAAAGACAGGCAAAAGAAATTGTTCACTGGATTAATGAAGAAATCTGCTCAACAGATTGAGGAAAACTTATAAAACTGAAAATGCACAAATTTTCATCATGAGAGAACAGAGTAACATCATATGTCATGGGTATTAAAGATGGTAACGAATTAGCAAAGGAGAGAAGGAGGAAGTGGGTTAAAACTTCCAAAGAATGCATCAACTCTGCAGAAAAACCCATGCTGGAAGTCACACATGGGCAACCCTCTTCAATAATTGTTGTTGTTAAGTGCCGTGAAGTCAGTTCTGACTCATAATGACCCTGTACATGATTTCTGAGTAGCGACACTGCGGTTCAAACTGACCTTGCAGTCTAGCACATTAACCCGCAGCATTACACCAGGACTCCCTCCAATAACTAAGAAAACTCAAATCTGCTGCACAAGACACTTTAAAGTTTTGAAGAGCAACGATGTCAGTTTGAAGACTAAAGTGCACCTGACCCAAGCCATGGTATTTCCAGCAACCCCATATGCATATGAAAGTTAGACAATGAATAAAGAAGAATTGATGCATTTGAGTTATGGTGTTGGAGGAGAATATTAAAAGCACAATGAACCACCAAAAGAATAGACAAATCTGTGATGGAAGAAGAAGAGCCAGAGTGCTCCTTACAATCCAGGATGGCCAGATTTTGTCTCTCATACTTCAGACATTTTATCAGGAGGGACTAGTCTCTGGAAAAGGACATCAGGCTTGATAAAGTGGTTGTTGCTGTTAAGTGCTGTCGAGTCGGTTCGGACCCATAGCGAGCCCCCAAAAGGTTTCTGAGGCTGTAAATCTTTATGGGAGCACAAAGCCTCATCTTTTTCCCACAGAGCAGCTGGTAGTTTTGAACTGCTAACCTTGTGGTTTGCAGCCTGATTTGTAACCACTACTCTACCAGAGCTCCTTGATAAAGTGGAGGGTCAATGAAAGAGAAGAAGACCCCCAATGAGATGGATTGGCACAGTGACAACAGCGATGGGCTCAAGTGTAGCCAGGTGTTCTCAGGACCAGGCAGTGTTTCTTTCTGTTGTGCATAAGGTTGCCATGAGTCACTAACGACTCATTGGCACCTAACAACAACAACAACAGCACAAAGTCATAAAAATATTAGAGATTTGGATTCCGTGTGCTAAGAGCTTGTTGGCATTTGCCAGAGCTGTATAAGTTTTCAAGCCTCCAATAATTTAAAATATGTATTTCTACATTCCTCCTTTTCTCTTTTCCCACTCCCAATTCCTTTGAATTTGCAACCTAAGAGACTATGAGATGAAATGGCACATCTTGCCCTAGTGAATGGATGACTGAAAACCCAGCTGTGTTTGAGAAATCCAGTTGCTTTTAGCAAATTTTCCTATTATAATTTAATATGAGTCTCAATATCCTTCTAGTGCATTAAGCCATAGTCTCTTCCAGACTGTTCGCCAAGAGCAGAGAAGCAACCAATGTCTGCATTTTCTTGCTACCTTGAACAACTATAGGGGAGAATCAGATTAGAGATGTCGTCGTCACGATCCTTGGAGATCATTTAAAATCTTAGGACTTTGCTTTGCAGTTATTAAAGTGTACTTATCCACTGTTGATTGCTACCTTGGTTCTGAAAAGACAAATTCTGTTCTAAGTGACTATTGCTTTCCACAGATGAAGGAAATTAGGCTGGTGGGCTTGTGTTTTCTACCTTCAACACAAGACTGACCCAAAAGTGCTAAGCCCTTTTTTTTCCCAAAGTAGGTTCCACACATCTGCTACCTTACCACTTCCTCAATGAATTCCTTTTTATAGCTGCTCCAACCTACCCTACATTTGTTCTGCATTCCCAGCCCTTTGTTGTATAATTCATACCTTTGCTTTGCCAGTTCCTCAGGGTAAAGATTTCTTTATTTGCCTAGGACATTTTTAGTTTATTGTGCAATACCATCTTCCCTTTGGGTGTTGCATAAATATTAACTAAAAATCCACATCTGGTCTTGGTCGTCATTTCTATTTGTCCTAATATAACTTCTCTTTGAACAAGTCATTTGGAAAGTGTGCCAAGGGTGAAATGTGGCACATAAATTCTGCTGCTGCACAGAATGCCCACAGATTTGGTTATTTATGAACAGAAGATTTGCACCTCTTCCTTGCTCTCTCAATTCTAAAATTGTAACAGGCCAAAGCAATTACAATTGTCCATATGTTTTATAAAAAGGTATCCAAGAATCTCATGCTAAAATCTTAACAGATTGACTAGGAAGCCAAAAAACACTAGCCCAGCAGGTGAAACTGCCTATTTAGGGAGGTCAGAACAGAGCTTTCTGCTGGGAGACTCATAAGTTCTGGGCTTTACTCAGGAAATAACCCTGCAGGAGAAAAACAGCAGAGCGTGGATAAAATGTGGGTCAGGGAGCTGAAAGAGGCACACGGGCTGCTTGGTTAACTAATGACAGTAATGCATTGGCTACACATGTTACATTTAGATGTTTCCCAGCACACCATAAAGTACTGCCCTGCAGACACTACAATGTGCACCACCGCTTTATCCCAAGACTTGTGGTCCATTTGGAATATAATTAGGACAACAAAGCCACTGAAACAGATTCTGTCACCTGTGTCACAAAACCAGGACTTAAAAACCAGCAGTGACTAAAATAATGATCACTTTAAGAAATTCAGTCTCTTTGGGTTCTAATTCAGAGGATGTGTGCTTTAAGAGGATGGGGCGAGTGGGAAGGAGTATAGAAA